GGTTTGCTCGGTTGGTTAGAGCATGGTGCTGAGAATGCCAAGGTCCAGGGTTTGACCCTGGGCCAGCCAGCCAACAAAAAAAAAAAAAAAAAAAAAGAATTCAGGGTGAGGATCAATGAATCATTGAGACCATCTTGGAGGCTAAGTACCACAATTGTACCCCAAACCAAGTAGGAATTCTTCATTGTTCTAAGCAGACCCTTCACCTCCTATGTGTCACATTGTTTTAATGACATCAATGTCCTTATCCAGTCTCAAAACCTTGGGGTCATCTGTGAGGTTTTTTCTCTCTCCATATCCTATCACCTGCTAAATACTGTTGACTCTTTCTCTTCCTGGAATTTGCTTCATTCCTTTTGTCAATGCCCTGGGTCACTTGGATCCTTCAGTAACTTTCACGTGGCTCCAGCTTTCCACATTTTGATAATGCTCCAGCCATGCCCCCAAACCTTCAGTGGGACAGAAGTTGTAAAGGAAAAGATGGCTAGGTTTGACTACATAAAAATATAAAACGTTATATGTCAAAAACAACATGAATAAATTAAAAGAAAGTAAAAAATGTCGAAAATATGTGTAGGTATTAATTAAAAGGTGTTAGCCTTTTATAAATCAACAAAAAGGCAGAACTCATAAATGAAGAAGTCATCATACAAAAATTTCAAACTCAGTAAAGTAAGAAATGCAAAGTCAATAAATGTACGTTTTTGCTTATACAATTGAGGAGGATTAAAAAGAATATAAAAGTGGAGGAAAGCAAGAACTCTTACTCTGCTGATGGGAAGGTAAATTGATATGACCCTGAGAATAATTTATCAGTTACGTATCAAAGCCTTAGAAGAATCCATGCCTTGTTTGTATTAATTGACAGGGGCAAGGTCCACAATATGTTGTAGAGGTGAAAAAATCACAACATAAAAAGTTATGTGTGTGTATATATATGTGTACTGTTAATGTTGTACACACACACACAACATTAACAGTGATTATTGCTGGGTGATGGGATTTCACCTCTGTCCTTTCTGCATTGTCAGAATTTTTAATATGGAATATATATTATGTTTTGAAAATAATGAACTGTATTATTTGTATAAGCAAAAAAAGCTATCTTCACTTTGAAAAGAAAAAAAAGTATGCATTTTAGGACCTAGAAGTTCTATTAGAAATACCCAGAGATGTACAGACAATTAGAAAACAACTTAAATGTGCAGTAGCAGTCAATTGGTTAAGTAATTTATGAAAAACTAAGCAGCTCTTATAAATCATGATGTAGGTGAAGCGTTGACATGGGAAATATCACAACTTTCACCAATTGAGGAAATAGTATGTGTAGAATGATGCCATCTTTGTAAAAATATATATATTCTCTACGTATGTAGGTATGTATATACATGTATTAGTCTGTTTCTGCCTCTTATAACAAAATACACAGAACTGTGTATTTATAAATAAAACGAAATTCATTGCTTACAGTTTTGGAGGCTGGGAAGTTCAAAGTCCAGGGAACACAGCTGGTGAAGGCCTTGGTGGTGGCGACAGTGACGCAGGGGTCTCACATGGCAGAATTGGCAGAGAGAAAGAGACTCTCATGTACTCTTCTTTTAAAGCCCTCAGAACCATGCCCCTGAGCACCATTATTAGTCCATTCACTATGGCATGGTCCTACAGTCTAATCACCTCTTCAAGGCCCCACCTTTCAGTTACCATAATAGGATCTCCCACCCTGTATACACTGTTACAGTGGGGACTAGGTTTTGGGGGGACATCAATCCACAGCAGTACCTACACATATGTTCACATATATACAAAGAAGAAAAGAGACACCAGATTATGATCTAGGTGCAAGGTAATATGAGTAATTTTTGAGTTGTACTTTTACATTGTTTCCCTCTTCAGATTAGTTTTGAGACTCTCTGATTTGTTTCCAAATTACATCTCCAGACTCCCATTATACACCCTGCTTTTCTTCCACATGTAAGTCCTTCTCACTCTAACTTTCGTGCTTGCTCGTGCGGCTGCTTCTCCCAATGTCTTTGCCTGCCCATCTTGAAGGATCAAGATCCCATTTGTTCAAGGCTGAGCACCACCATACCTGCCCGTATCTTCCCACTCTAAGTAATATCTCCTTCTCCGTAGACTCCCATAGCTTTTATCAGCATCTCTCTTGTGGTACTGACGGCTTTCTACTTTGACGTGCTTTGGCTGTTTATTTTGTACCTTCTCTTACTTATTAAACTGTATATTCTATGCAGGCAGATCCCATGTCTGATTTGTGTTGATGTTCCACACAGCACCTAATAATGCTTTGTACCAGCAAAGCATTTATCCAATAAATCCTTACTGGATGAACGATTCAATGGAAAAATACTTCCAGGCCCTCTTGGTTTATTGTTAAGCTGATATACACTTAAGAATTATAAGACTATTTTAATTCTTTTTTTTTTTTTTTTTTTTTTTTTTTTTTTTTTTTTCCGTGTCCAGCAACGGCTCCCAACCCTC